TTGTTGTTCCCTTGTCCCTGGGTTTGTTAACACCACTTCCTTTCCCCCCACCTCCCCCTTTCCCATGGCCCCCCGAACTATCGGTCCGTTGTTTTCTCCTCCAGATTGTTCATCCAGCCTGTCTTATTTAGACAGACCTGCGGAGATGATAACATGCACAAAAACTAGACCGAGCAAAACCAAGCAACAAAATAAAACAAGCCAATGACAAAAAACAAAACACAACAAAAAAGAAAAGCCTGTAGTTAGTTCAAGGACAGTTTGTTGGCCTTTAGGAGTGTTTTCCGGTCGAGTCTCTTGGGGCGCCAAGCCCTGGCCCCAAAGTCTATTCTTGGTATTCCCTGGGGACTTCATTGCTCTGTTCCCTTGCTGTTCTGTTCCACACCCATAGTGTTTTGCCTCAATGTGGTGGGATCAGATCGCGCGGAATTCCCAGTGTCACCACTTTCATTATTTTCAAAACATTATCTTTCTACTCGAACCCTTTGATATCAGTTCCTCTTTTAACCCTCCCTCATTCGCCCTCCCACCCGCGTGAACCCTTAATAAATTATGTATTATTTTTTCATATCTTACACTGTCCACTGTATCCCTTCACCCACATTTCTGTTATTCGTCCCCCTTGGGGTGTGTGTGAGTTATACATCCATCAGTGCTATCTGTTCCTCCCTTTTCCTCTTACCCCCAACCCTCCCAGAACCCTCATGGTATCCCTACTCTGTTACTGTTTGAGGGATTTATCTGTCCTAGATTCCATGTGTATAAAGCTCTTTTTAAAATCATTTTATTGGAGGCTCATACAACTCATCACAATCCATATATACATCAATTGTGTCAAGCACATTTGTACATTCGTTGCCTTCATCATTCTCAAAATACTTGCTCTTCACTTAAGCTCTTGGTATCAGCTCATTTCTCCCCCCTCCATCCCCGCTCCCACCTCCCTTGTTGAAAGTTCTTATCTGTACCAATGTACACGTTCTGGTCTAACCTTACTTGTGAGGTAGAACTTGGTTCATGATGTGGGGGGAGGAAGCATCAAAGAACTAGAAGAGTGTTGTGTGTTTCGCCGCTGCAGCATGGGTGAATCCTCCCTTCCATAAGGGAATGTCCAATTGCCTACAGATGGGCTTTGGTGCACTCTGACCACTCTCCTTCACAATGATGCTTATTTTTGATCCTCTAATACCTGATCCCGTCGACACCTCGTGATCACACAGACTGGTATGCTTCTTCCATGTGGACTTTGTTGCTTCCCTGCTAGATGCCTGCTTGTTTAACTTCAAGCCTTTAAGACCCCAGATGCTGTATCTTCACATTTTCTTATGCACCTATTTTGTGTTCAGCAAGTGTGTTGGAAAGGTATCACAGTTCCAGGTTATTAGAACAGAGTGTTCTTGTGTTGAGGGGAGACTTGAGTAGAAGGCCCAAGTCTGTCTGCTACCTTAATACTTTAACATATAAGTATATGCACATAGACCAATACCCCTATCTTTATAAATTAGTATATTTACATATGTACATGCCTATATTTATCTCTCTATATAGGTTTTGCCTCCTAGTATTTTCCTCTATTTCCTTTTACTTTCCTCCTGTCCCACTATCATCTTACCCTTCATTTGTCTCAGAAATTCCTCTCGGCTACATTACAATTGATCAAACCCCACCAGGAACACTACATTCCCCTTGCCATTGATTTTAGATTCCTGTTGTTCCCTTGTACCTGGGTCTGCTTGCTCCCTGCTCCCTTACCCCTGACCTCCTCCTCTACCATGTCTCCCTGGAAAAATTGGCCCCGTTATCTTCTTGGGGTTGTTTATCCTGCCTATCTTACATAGACATATTAAAAAAAAAAAAAAGCAGGCCTGTAAATAGTTCCAGGTCTACCTGCTGACTGATGTCTTCCAACCAGGTCTGATGATGTGTCAAGAACTGCCCCGGAGTCAAGAGTCTATTGATTCCTTGGGCACTTCGTGACTTTGTTCCCCTTGCTCTGTTGTGCTCCCTTCCTGATTTGCCCCATTTTGTGTGTGTAAAATGTGCTTTATTTCGTAGTAGAGGATAAAATAACATACAAACCAGTCTTTTATATAGCGTTAGCTTACTGACTACTTCCACAAGTGAAAGAGTTCACAATGTAGAATTCTTGAAGCAACATGCCCAACAGCACCCTTTTTCGGCTCTGATTCTCTAGTGTTGAGAAGCTCTGCTCTTTGGGAACTTAGTTTAATAACCAGGTGAAAAGCAAGTGAGTAATATACCAAAGGGGAGATTCAGTCACCAAATATATGAAGAGGTGCTTAAAAAAAAAAGTGTTCAACATTAGCCGTTAGGGATGCAAATAAAAATGAGATGCCACTTTACCCCCCCAACTAGGATGATTAAGATGTTAATGATATATTAAATGGTACAGCAATTGTGGAAAACCCTATGATGCTTCCCCCCAAAATTGCCACTGAGCTGACTCAGAGTGACTCTACTGGACAGATGAGCGCTGCCCCCGAGTTCCCAAGGCTGTAAATACTTAAAGAAGCCGACTGCCAAATCGCTCTCCCACGGAGAAGCTGGTGAGTTCAAGCCGCTGACCTTCCGGTTAACTACTGCTTCTGTATGGATTCCAAGCATGGCCAGATAACCCAGCAATGCAATTCCTAGGTATATACCTAAAGGACTTGATCGTAGACTAGATCGTCAACACCAATGCTCACTGCAGCCCTGTTCTTAATAGCTGAAAAGTGGAAACAACCAAATGCCCATCAACAGATGAATAGATAAGATGAAACATACAACTTTCCTCTAGTTCTTTAATGCTTCCCCCCTCCCCACCCCACTATCATAACCCCAATTCTGCCTTACAAATCCAGCTAAATCAGAGCATGTACACGGTACAGATAAGAACTCGCAACACAGGGAATCCAGACAGATAACCCCACCAGGCCCAATAATGAGAGTATCTATACCAGGAGGTAGGTGGAAGTGGGAGAACAGGGGAACTGATCACAATGATCGATGTATAACCCCTCCCAGGGGGATGGACAACAGAAAAGTGGGTGAAGGGAGACAGTGGTTAGTGAAAGATATGAAACAATTTTTTAATAAATTATCAAGGGTTCACGAGGGAGGGAAAAATGAGCTGATATCAAGGGCTCAAGTACAAAGAAAATGTTTCAAAAATGATGATGGCAACATATGTACAAATGTGCTTGACACAATGGATTATGTATGGATTGTTATAAAAGCTGTAAGAGCCCCCAATAAAATGACTTAAAAAACCCCCAAACCAGATGAACAAACAAAATGTGACTTGTACACACAGGAAATCCTACTGAGCCACTAGAAGGAAGTCTTTTTTCATTGTTTACAGTGAAAGATTTACAGAGCAAACCAGTTTTCCGTTCAACCATTCACACATATCGTTTCATGTCTTGAGTGCAATCACCTCATGTACCATCACTTATTCCTCTTCCTAGTTTCTCCCCACGTTGCACACTTCTTCCCTATGCATGTGGTAGAGCATACAGGTATGAAAACATCTCAGACAAAATCAAACACCTTCAGAGAATGAGTCGATGGGCCTGGAGGATCAGAACTATGGTCTAGGGTCACCAAGGTCAACTGGCATAATCCACAGAGATAATATTCTGCCTCCTACTTAGGTCAGTAGTGACAGAGGTCTTAAAATCTGTGAATAGCCATCTAAGGTGCACACCCCAGCCTCTACTACCGAGACCAGACGAACTAGCTGGTGCCTGGTTATCACTACCAACTGCTCTGAAGGGTCACATTAGAAGTTACCGGCTAGAGTTTGGGCTGCTGTCCTGCTGATAGGCCCCCCCACATCCTCACTTTTAGGCCCAGGGCGGTTCAGGTTCATCTTGCACCTTCTTTCTGTCCCAGCCATGGAGTCAGGAACCAGCCATTTAGCCAGGGAGTGGACACATTCTCAATCCTTGCCAGTTTCTTTTGTGAAGCATGGTTGTTGTTGTTTTTTTAATGTGTGTATCACGTACTTAAAAAAAACGCCATTGTATGATACCATTTTATCTGCTTTAATGCTGATGATTTCTGAGTGCCATTTTAAACATTCCCCACACCTCATTACCAGGAGACCCTGACCTTGTGAGCAAGGTTTTACCAACCCACCAGTTTCTAGCAACAAAAACTGCTGAGGCTGGTGAGGGATTAGTGTAATTTTTTTCTTTAAAAGGTAGTTAAAAAAACAAAACAAAAAACAACACAAAACAAAAAGCACATCAGTCATATTTGTGTCTATGCAATTCTTTTATTGTTTCCAGGTAGGACATTGAAATTTACATGTTCTGTTTAAGATAACTAATACACACTTAAGCTAATGGAAATAAAATACACAAGCCATAGAAAATATACAAGAGCTATGAGTCAGATTAGAAAACCTGAATCGAAGTTGTAATCCACGTTGTCAGATACAGAACACTGGGAATTTTGGAAATGGAGACTGGTCTTGTGTATCCAGCACTTCTTTTCGGTAAGTACTTATTTACCCTTCTGGAAGCATGTATAGCACACACATGGTTTTAAGAACTCAATGGCTTCTTAAAACAGAACACATTGCTTCGATCCTAGTCTTCTGAGAGAATTGAATATTGGTTCTTTTAATATTGATTCAGAAAGCAATTACAAGGCACCTTTTTATCACAAAGAAAACGGAAGATCTCCATCTTTAAGACAACCACCCCAAATCCACACATCTGGAGCAATGCCATCCCTTGTTATGTTTAAAACAGACTTTTCCCAGACTGTTTCCAGACTTCTTTCACTCCTTTAATGCTTTCTTTCTTTACGCATTTCCAGTACTCTTGTACACTGAGTTGTTGGGGTACCTGTTAGCCAAAAGTACAAGTTAAGGGTCATTAATTTCTCTTCAAGCTTAAGCATCGTTTACTGTGTAGTTTACGTTATCATTTCCCCCCCGTCTTCCCAAAAGGGTCTGGGGCAGAGGGCTGAGAAGCGAGGAGAGAGGATGTCTGTGAGAGAAGTCGGCTCTGGAAGGACTGAGGGTGGGGCTGACCACGCAGACAGGGCCGAGCTCCTTCTCCGAGAAGATGCGGAATCTCGGGGCAATCTTCTTGGTCTAGTGGTTTAAAATAGTTACTTTATGGTTGCCTTTTCCTGGTGACCTTTATTTGGCTATCTGGAACAATTACAGGCCTATAACTTCGGGCGAACCTTCGTTAAAATGAAGGAGGCACAGGAGTCTCAATATACTGAATGAGAAGCCTTGGAGAGAAGTCACTTCATTCCCACAGGCTCACTGTGATGAAGTTCTCAGTGGCTAGCCCCTTCTCAGCACAGGGGAAAAGTTAAAGGGTGGACCGCAGGAGCACAGCAAAAGCAAGCGAAGGTCTTTCCTGGATGACACGTGCGCTTTCTCCTATCACTAAATTATATTTGCAGCAATAAACTGAGCTTGTTCTTCTGGGTTGTAAGTTAATAGCCCTGTCCTCATGTAGGAGCCCCAGGCAAGTTGCTAACTGCAAAGTTAGCAGTTCAGACCCACTACTTGCTCCAAGGGAGAAAGATGAGGCTTTGTGCTCAAGATGTGCAGCCGCAGGCCCCACAGGGGCAGTTCTACTCTGTCCTGCAGGGCTGTGATGAGTTAGAGCTGACTTGATGGCAGTGGGGAGGGCGGGTTTTCAAGAAGTCACCATTGTCTATTTCTCTCTCTCTGTCATCCCTTCCCTTCCTAGCTCTCTCTCTAGCCTGACTACCTGCCTACAGGTGGACTGAGTGACTGATACTAATCGGATGAACACCAACCACCAGGGCCTTCTTCTGAGGTGCTACTGGTGAGAGTCAGACCACCAACCTGCAGGCTAGTGACCCAGGGAGCACTCTGTGCAGCTCAGGGACCTTTTAAAGACATGGACCCTGTAGTCACTGACGACCCATTCATTACCCATAAGCCTCGATGCATCCTGTTTCTCAACACGCCGAGGAACTCTCCAGCACTCAGACACTCGTCGCCGTCCACGTCAAAGATCTTGAAGACGGCGTCCAGGATATTGTTGGAGAGCTCCTGGCCGGTGGCGACTTTCACGGCCCGCTTGAACTCGGCTGGAAACAAAACATACATACATCCAATTCCTCACCCAAGCAGACTCCCCAGCATTTCATCATTTACGAAGTGAAAACCAGCAGGCATTTCTATCTTTTGGGCAGAGAATGGACAACAAAAACATACACACCAAGAACATAGTGACGTGATAAACTATTGTTTAAGTAAATAAAAAGCAATGCTTTCAACATAACACTCTAATTCTCTTCTCCTTTCCAGGAGAAAAGGAGCGAGTGAAGGCACAGAAAGCCACGGGGGTGGAAGGGCTGCAAACCCAGACTGCCCCTCCCCACCCCCAGGAATGGACAGGCCCACAGTGACTTTCCCGACCTCGCTCTTTCCCTGTTGTCACCCATGGGAAGGCCGAGGGAAGCTGAGAGAGAAGATCGAGCTTACCCAGGCGGACAGGGCGATGAGCTAAACTAAACATCTGCATGGCAATAGCAAAGTCTTCCAGGTGGGTCGTAAAATGGCAAAACGATTTGAACTCATCCAAACTGATGCTCTGAGGAAATAACAAAAGCGAGTTTTGATTATCCGCCTGTAAAGGGAATGAACCACCTCATGCCTGTAAGCATGCAACTTCTTTCCTCTCATGTTTGTGAATGCAGATTTTTCTGAGCACATCTACTCAAAAGTGTGTGGCAGATGAGCAAAGGAACTGGAGACTAGGAGAACCACAAGACCGTGGCTGGCAGGGACACCCCATGTGGGCAGGCCGCTGGTGACTGGCACCTCTAGAATTGTGAGTGTAGAAGGTGGGGTGGCCCACACCCTTGCCTTCCGCTTATTCTTACTCATGGACACAGCGCCATCAAGAACACTGGGCTTTGGAGTTAGACAGACCTGTGTTGGAATGCAGGCCAGTGCTGTTTTGCATATGGTCACTGTGGGTCGGAACAGACTCGATGGCGCAGACGACGACATCATCATCATCATCATGGTGCTGAAATCCAATTGTGAGGATGGCGCGGGAATGGGTGTGTTGCACTGCTGTACACAGGATTCCTGAGTTGGAACTGACTGCACAGCACCTGACATGTTGCTATTTGTTATGCATATGATCAGGGAGCCCTGATGGCCTTGTAGGTTAATTGTTGAACTGCTAACCGCAAGGCCAGCATTTCAAATCCACCAGCTGCTCCCCTGAAAAAGATGGGGCTGTCTTGGGCAAGACTCAGTCTCGCTAAAGCATCAGGCAAGTAACCCTCAGAGGTAAGTAACTTGCCCAAAGTCTACTGAGTTGAACAATCAGGATTTGAATCCTGGGGATTTGATTTCAATACCTATGTACTCAAACCCAGAAGCAAACAAAACCTAGTTCTCCATTGAAAAAACAATACAAGTGTGGAAGTCCCTCACTGAAAGAAAAAGCTTCCTTGTCTGAATGAGTTTTTCTCTTTCTAGAGACCTTTGGGATCAGACTCTGCATATACGTGGTCTCACTCGAGGTTTATTGCTTTCAGCTTCTGTGAGTGTATAATACTTTTTATTTTAAAATTTTATTAAATTTGAGGAAATAAATATACACACACATGTAAAAAGCAAAACGAAACAAAAAACCCCCCAAACAGTACAAAGGGTAAAGCAGGGAAAGTAACCCTTTCTTACTTTCCAGACCCCGGCTGTGTCCTTTCCCCGAGGGAAACACCACCACCAAGTTCTTCCCATGCGTCTTCCCAGACGTAGTCGACCGACCGACACGGAGGACATGCGCTCTTCTCCACAGGGAAGGCACCCTCTCCAGCCCTTCCTTCTCCTGGCTTGACTCCCCGCCCCGGGGTCTCTTCCAGCAAAAGTAAGAGGGGCCTGACTCACGGGGCCATTATCTCAGACAGGTACTGGGCAGGCAAGCAAGCAGCAGGTTTTCTGCTCCCGACTGGTGGGTCTCAGTTTGTGAGCGTGAGAGGGAAGTGTCTGCTCACCATCTGGCTTTTTCTTCCCGTGCCCTCTGCCCAGATTTCTAATGGGCTGGTAGGGTCTTTTTATTGCTGGGATTCAATGCTCCAGGACAGCGGTTCTCAACCTGTGGGTTGCGACCCCTTTGGGGGTCAAATGACCCTTTCACAGGGGTTGCCTGATTCATAACAGTAGCAAAATTACAGGGATGAAGTAGCAACGAAAATAATTTTATGGTTGGGGTCACCACAACGTGAACTGTATTAAAGGGTTGTGGCATTAGGAAGGTTGAGAACCGCTGCTCTAGGGATCTCTGGCATTTCTTCACACCTTGTAAAAGGTGCCACTCAACAAAACAGAACACACGTACACAAAAAAACACCTCAATGCTATCATGTTAGTGCTGACTCCTGGTGGCCTTTAAGGCAGGGCAGAATTGCCCTGTGAGTTACAGCGACTGTAACTCTTCCTGGGAGTAGAAAGGCTCATCTTCCTTGCTAACAGCCTTATTGTGTTGCCGATATCTTCAGTGAAGAGCCCTGACATAGGTGCACAGCGTCCTCCTTGAGAGCAGAAGACAGCATGTCCCTGTCTGGTAGAACGAAGACAGTGCTCCTTCTGCAGCAAAGGCCGGGAAGGTTTGCTCGTGGCTCAGTAAGAAAGATACATGTGCCCCCAAATTGGGTTTCCTCAGCAGGATATGCAGCCTTCTCCTGGGACCCTACACTTCCCCTGCCATGGGATGTAGGACACGACACGCAGCTGTTGCCACAATGTGAATCATCACGCCTTTTTGTTTCTGACCCTGTGGACGTGCGCCTTCTGTCAGCAGTCTGGAACCCCTGGCACAAAGTGGTATGTTGCATGTTGTTGGCAGGCCGGCAGGCTAACACATAGAGTCAAGCCACAGATGCCAAGTTATGAATACCTCCGGTCCCTGAAGATGAAATAGGGCAACTTTTCAGACTCTTTAATATTAGCACCTACAGCGTCTTAATTTTTTCCTGTGACTTTGAGTACTTTTTTTTTCAGGGAGGGGGAGGATTTTAAAATTCAAGTAGTATTATTTTATTAATTTTTCCTTGAAGGCTTCTGGATTTTGCTTAGAAAGGTTTATCCACAACTCCTCCGAGAAGACTGTTTTCAAGTTTTCTTCCAGCTTTCCATTAGCATCTAAATCTTTGCTTCATCGGGACTCAGGGTAATGAGGGAGGGAGGGGCTTGCTTTCATTTCCTTCTTGCACAACCAACCGATTATACTAATGCCACTGACTAGCAATTATTTCCAGTCCACGAATTTGAAATATGACTAGATATTGAATGCCCATGTATATTTGCATCTATTCTAGACTACATTCTGTTCAATTAATCGGTCACATTTACTGTCAGTCACAAACATGTCATTACCAAGACCTGAAAATAGTTTACTTTCTGGCCATTCTGTGTCTATCACTGTGGTATGGCCTGTCCAGCTCCCTCTCAAGAACCCAGTCTATTTTGACTGACATTGTGTTAGTCTGGGTAGACTAGAGAAACAAATTCATAAACATGCATATGTATAAGAAAGAGTTTTACATACAAGAGGAATTGAACATTGAGAAAGCATGCCAACCCATTCCAGTCCAAGTCCATAAGTCCGATATTAGCCCATAGATCTGATACCAATCTATAAAGTTCTCTTCAGACTCACAAAACACAGGCAATGATGCCGAGTGCAGGACGATCACAAGCCAGTGGGTAGAAAGTCTTTGGATCCAGTGGCATTGTAAGCATCTCAGCGCTGGCAGGGGTCTCTATGTGCCTTCTCCGGCTTCAGAGGTCTGGTTGCATCAGGGCAGGTCCATGTGGCTTCTCCAGCTCAGGGCACCAGC